GTAACATGTCTTTACATTGTGAAGGGGATGTGGAGAAGCACAGCCACCACCATGGGGCCGTGGTCCATGGCTGAGAGTTATTTTTGATGCTTGCATAGAAATAATAATTCACAATCCTAGCTCATGGAAGGTGCCCGTCTCACCACCATGAGCATGGGGAGAGGTGGGGTAGACTTCTGCCTCATGCATCTCCCTGCATCAGGGTCAGGGCTGTGCTCACCTCTGACAAACCAGGTCACCAAGAAGCAGCCTGCTGCTCCTCACCAGCTCCTGCCAGCTCCCATTGCTGTTGACCAAATCAGCTGGAGCCAGAAAAGGGCTTGACAGACTGCTGTTATCTCACCTGGGGAAGAAATGAGGAGCCGAGAAGACACTGAGTGAGCCTCCTGCCGGGGCCACCTTCTAGAGAGAGAGACAGTCAAGGGCTTCTCAGCGAGGTAAAGCAGGGCTTGGGAAGAGAGGTACCAACTTGACTGCAAATAGGCGAGGTTAACAATGCAGACAGTTGTCCAATGATTGCATATTTTGTGCAACTTTCTTTGGAATGTGGTACTGGATACTGTTTGAGATAGCATGCTGGGCTGGCTGGACAGCTTGGCTGCTTTATCACTGAGGTTTTATGGTCTGGTGAACTGCTTTCCATCCCTTTTGGTTTTTTTAATTGTTTGTGCATCCCTGTTCACCCGAAATACAGAGGGCAGATTCTTGTGAAGATCTGATCCCTATGGTGTGACTGTGGAATCAGAAAATTTCTAATGGGAAGACTGGGAATGGCAAGGTGCAAGTGAGTACTGGAACCCACCACTAGCTGTTCAGCAGCTCCTCTTTGGTATCTCAGGACAGCTGAATGGGGAAAGGATGATACGAAGAAATTACTTTAAAAAAAGAAGCCCTTAAAGAACAAATCTAACATCTGAATACAGGATGGGACACACCATCTTCAGCTGAAATGATCTAGAAGAAAAGACAGGATTACTCAAGCTTAATTGCTGTGCTGGTTTGGGACCCATATATACTGAAACAGCTGTGTGCAACCTCACTTTGTTTTGAAAGAGAACGTTTCACAACTGTTTATGAATAAAGAACATTTACTGCTAAGAGTCACCTGTAGTGCCCAGCATTTCTGGGATGGGCTGGCAATGGCCTCGAAAAGTCATTTTGTAATTCTTGACATATTGGTTTGGGCATCAGATAAGCATGTACTGGAGGGAGGTTTTGTAAGACAGTGTCCCCCAAAATCCTTCTCAGATGCCAAGTCAGTTTGTTTGCTGCTCAGTTCCCTGAACCTTGCACACATTTATTAGAGACAAAATCAGTCCTGTAGCAAAGGAGCTTCGGCGGCTCTTGTAAGGCAAGTGCTAGGAACGATGAGAGCCGTGTACGGTGCCTGTGAAGGAAGAGAGTAAGAGACAAAGAGCAGGGGGGGAAGATCAAACCTGGACAGTCTGTGCAGGGCACTGATCCAAAGCTCAGTTCTGTGCTCTGTAAAGTGTACAAACTAAGTAAATCTTGAGTTATAGGGCTGTAATTCCTCTGCTGGATTGTGGTGACTGCATAAGGCCACTTGAGCTTTTGCTCTTATAGTTTATGATATCACCACAATCCCCTGGTGGATTTAGAGCCCTGTAATTTTTTTACAGTAGTGAGCTGTTTATTTCTCTATTTACAACAGTACATCACTGGAGATACTGATAACAGTCACCTAGTTCTATCATGTAGTTCCCTATACTCTTGCATTTGTTTTTGTAGAATTACAATCATTCTTTAGGAGCAGGCTGCCAGAAGCTGGGGGCAAAAGGAGGAAGCTCTGGTTTTGCCTGTCTTTGTCTCTTTAAAGACTGTTTAATTTAGCAACTATTTGTCCAGATGCAGGAGGGCATAATGACTACCAATTTCACATCTCTATATGACAAACAGCTGTATGACTCCCACTTTCACATATTTTCTTTTCTCTTTCTTTCCCCCCTGCTGTATATTAATTTCTCAATTAAAGTTAACCTCACCAGCTTCTTGCACAGGATGTCACTGTAATAGAAGGCTGAGGGGAGGTCAGCGTGATGCATCACAGGCAGATGCCAGGCCAGAGCAGGAGGCAGGTCTTGGGCTTAATCCCACCCTAACGCTGTGCCATGGATTTTGGTTCAGAACAGATGGACGTAACCCTTAATTTGATTAGTTGTGAGTATGGCAGGGAGGCAATCACAGCAAAAGGGGATGAGCACAGTAGGTAGCTAATTTAAGTGTCATGTGCTAGCCTGCTGTAGCATCACAGCCATATTCTGCTCAACAAGTAACTGCCAATTACTTAGTGCAAATAAATAAATATACGCGTCTAACAGTCAGCTCAGCTGGACAATCTACCCATTGTACCCCGAGCACTGAGAGCAGAGGCATCACAAACTTGGCAGCAGTGCTGTGGAGCTGCTTAGGAGAGTTAAAAACATAGAGAGGTAGGGGATGCCCTAAAGCTTTTGATTTTGATGGAAGTAACTGACCTTGGCATTTAGAAAAACTCAGTGTCTCTACTAATATCCTTCAGTACAAGTTTCAGGGATTTTACTACAGGTCAAAAAGTATATCTGTGGCCAAGAGGAGCCAAAACTTTGCCTTCTGTTTCTTTTTGTTGTAAAGGCCAGATGCTGGATGTGATGCTGATAATCATTCTTCTTATTCTTTAGTCTGGGATGGGAAGAAATATACTACAAAAATCTATCATGATATCCGCTTTGTCAAAGCTCCTAAGATAGGACATTTGTATAGGAGAAAAACCCACACATCCCCTCTTTGACACTAGATCTACTGATTTATATAAATTTGTATCTTCGGGGTGTATTTGCAATTAAACTATACCTAAAACCCCAAGGCGCCCAGACATTAATGAGCAGGTTTTAGCTAGTTCCCTCCTAAGCACTGGTCAATGCAGTATACACTGCAATTTAATGTGAAGCAGTTTTTGTCAGATTTTGTGCACTCTATCCTAGGTTAGGCCATGGTAATGCCTAAAACAACTCAGCATTTTCTAGATTTTACTTATATGTATAATTTCATTATTGATAAAATATCTAAATTAGGCTGTTATGCAATTTGGTTATCATAATTTCTTTGGGCACACAGTGCTGTACGCAAATAAAAAGAAACAGAAAAGCAACTCCAAAGGATTTACTCTGCAATCTCTCAATTTAACCACATGGGGGCATGAGATATTTATTTAAGAGAGCTTTTTAGGCACCTGCTTCAGAAACCTGTGACGGCGGGAAGCCTTACTGGTAAACGGGGATCAGGATTGTCACTTGGTCTTTTAGCTGGCTGCTTGCAATCAAAATACTTAGCACCTAATTATTGCAAGTGACATTAACCTAAAATATAGTAACAAACAAAAGTACAGCATGGACAGGAAAGAATATTAAACAGATTTTAAACATCCCCATTAGTTAACCTGGCCTTGAAATACATTTTAATGATGCTATTTTTGTGTCTTTCTAAGCAAAATCTGACGTCTTCCATATAACTCTGTGCATCTGATTTAACCTGAACATTTCAATTAAATGAAAAGGAGGCTGCTCTGAGATACAGCAACCTAGATCTGGAGTAAATCCATTTCATTAATTGCCTCGATGACATTAATTTTTGTCATTCACTTGCAAGATGAGTAATATGCTCTATACATTTTGGCCCAGATCCAGCAAAGCACATAAAATCACAGTTAATGATGTTAAGTGCTTGAGTAGTTCTCCTTCAGCACATGCCTTAAGCTGAGTAGATATTGAAGTGCATTCCAACACAGAGAAAGTGGCACAATCAAACCTTTAATTAGTTTTAAGATGGAATTCAAAACGCAATGCAATTCCTTGCACTTTACATTGAAAAAAATGCACGCTTTGAGCCTCTCTTGGGAAAGAAATGACTAAACCTATTTATCCACTTTGGTTTCCAAAGGGAATGAAAGCTCATTGTTTTCTGCTGTTGTTCTCCCCTAAATTTATAAATTTATTTTGCTCAGTCAACTGGTTTGTTTACAGCAGAATATTTATATGAAAATTTCCAAGTCTGTTATTTTATGGACTTTTTTTTATTTAGAAGATAATTCACACATTTTATTGGTATTTAAAAGGGTGGAATATTTTTACTTCTGCTTCTGTAATTTTAAATCAAAGCAAAAATGAGCAGCAGTAAGGCTGTATAAACAAGTGTTCACAGTACCCGAAAGCTCGTTTCTTTTCAAAATAATGTGAAAATCAGGATTTTGTACTGCACATTTCTCATCCAAATATTTAATGCTCACACAGCTCAAAGGAACCATAAATTTAGGTCTCGTATTTTGAGACATTGTGTGCTTTCCATGGCGCACTTTTCAGCATGTGCCTCTGGCATACCGATCTGTGTCTAAGCAAGATCACTGCACACAGGTGAATTCTTAATCTAAGAGGGAACATAGTCCTCCCGTTCATCTCAGAGAGAAGAAGCTGAGGAAAACACCTCAGATTTAATCCATACTTCACCAAAACTTGGGCTACTTTTTCTTTGCCTTTGGTATAAACCCATCTTTGTGGGAAATACGTTTCCACAGGGAGTCTAAATAATGCCACTGTCATAGCAGTCAGAGGCAAAACTTTCTGAATGTAATGTAGTTGGTACAGTACAGAAGAGTTCATTCTTGAACTATCAGACTACAGCTATTGGGTGCTTTTCCTAAGCTGCAAACCTTCATATTTCAAAGCCTAGGCTTTGATACACTTTTTTTGCTCTAACAATTTATTCTTGGCATCTTGCATTTTTAAGGGCCTGTAAAATCCTTCCCAACAAATGCTAAAATAACTTGAGACTGTTGATCCACTTGTTTAACAAAGAAGCTCACGTCTTTGGCTGTGTTCTCACTCACAACACAAGCATATGCGAGGAATTATGATAAGTAAACAGCGGATGAGTCAGCCTTACCCTGGCAAAATGCTCACTGACACTAAGTGTGCATTTTCTATTGCCAAACCAAGTCTATGTTTGACTGCTTTTCTTTCAAGTTCCCTAATATATCTGCTCCTTGCTAGCAACGAAGCACTTGAGTGTATTAATGTCTAAAGCAATCAGCTCATCTATATGCTCTCAAAAATGGATGAGCCAATGAACATGGTGTCAGAAACTGTTTTCCGGTAAGTTTTTCTGATCCACTAATGCACCAAATGTATTTGAATTTACTATTCACATAACTTTTTATGGAACACTATTAAGTCACTTGGTTGATAACCCCTGCAGCCTTTTTAGTGAGCTGCAGCATAGTAAGGTCACTATTCCTAGATCTGGTTTGCTATATCATCCATTACATGCTGGTGCCATGACACCCCTGTATGAAGGAGACCACAGTTAGACGTGTTTTTATAAAGATTGCTTGTTCTTAAATGGAGAACTGATTAGAGTGAATGATTTAATATCGCTCTTGCTCAGAAATAATGGAATCTTGGGAAAGGATCAAACAGTCCCTCTAAGTTGGCTACCACCTTCCTGACTTCACGTTGTTTTTAAATGAAACATCTGGCACATTCTCCGGCTGGGATATTATTTTGTTCTTCTTGACAAAGTAATTCAAAATTTGCTGGAAAACAAGCTGAATGGAAGAGGAATTTTTTATTTATTTATTTTTCCCATAGACATCTGGAACTTTCTTTCAAAGCTGATGTGATCTTTCATCCAGACAAGAAAAGCTTTGATCCAAACAGTAAGATCTCCCTATCTCTTAGTTAACTAGTGTTAGTGAGGTAGGTTTGACAGTCCCTAATGCAGTCTCTGGAATGTCTTACTGCGCTAAGACCTGTCTATTGTGGCTCAGTTAGCTCAAAGACATCAGCTTTCTGTTGTTTGACTTCTGTCCCTCTGGGGATGGTTACAGGTTTTACTTGTTTTCATTATTTTCTCTTGTAAAACCATTGAATGCCAACAGAGAGAAGCACTTTTGAAACTGAGCAAAACCAGTCTCCTACAGACATTCCTGGGAGCTTTAGTTTTCACAAAACCTCACATATAAGAGAAAGATAAAGAAGGATTTCATTAAAAGTAGAGCTGTTCATTTTTGTAGATCTGCCCAGTTCTGGGGGTGATCATGTCCATTTTCCTGTAATATATTTATTAATTGAAACAATTAATAGAAGCAATTATCTTTGCTTCTACCATGCATACATCAGTTATATTAAAGTATTATTCCATTTTAAAAATTGCTCATTTTTAAATCCAAATTTGAGTGTGATTAATTAAAACAAAGGCTGGGCCATGCCTTCATGGTAGGACATGGCAGAATAAAGGAAGTCTTATCTTCTCCACTGTGTAGCAGTTGGCACTGAGGGTAATAATTTGGCAGGGATCTTACTGTGTGGGGCTTTTTCTCAAGCTGTGTATGTAGATTGTACACAGTGACAAAACAGAGCCCTCACAGCCACACTATTATCAGAATGAGAGCAGAGACAGGGAAGAAATACATAACATTCATTTCATTTTCTGCTTTGGGGGCACTACAGAAACCCTTGTCACTTCTCCATGAGGGTGCACTGCATCTCCACATTCCCATACCTAGACTTCAAGGAATATTACATTAAATGAGCAAAACCCATATAGTACTTCCAGTTTCCTGGGTGAATAGTCCAAGTTTCTACAGCTGAAAAACTTGAGGCTTTGTAACCCATTCCCTTTCTAATGGAACTACTTATTTTTTCTCTAAGGCAGTCCAACAATTACCATTATCCAGTCAAACTTCATATTTGAACTCAAAGAGAGTTCAAATGCTTTTGTTTAGACCCTGCCCATTTCTATATCTTTGCAACTACAACAAAGCTTCACCAGAAATGCAATTGTTTCACTTGTCTGTGAAATGATGGGAATCAATATCTCCTGATGAAAAATCATAGGTGAAAAGAATTCTTAAGTGGCTGGTTCAGTCAGGTGCTCTCGGAGCTGTCATATTGCTGAGGATCTGTAGGCAGTGACAATTTTCCAGCTATTCTTTAAGGTGCAGGAGACAAAATGATACAGAACAACTCTTCCCATTTAAGGATCATGCTGAGCCATTGCAGTATGGCTTTGGTTGCTGGCAGACAGTTCCCCAAACCAAAACCTATTGACCTATTCCATTACTGAAAAGAGTCCCTGTCTCCACATCAACTCATCGTTGCAGAACTATGTTTTGGAAAGAGTGTAGGATCTTTGTGGTGTGTTTATTGTCTGTTAAGCTAAAGGGTGATCTTACTCATGGCCCTGACATCTGATCATTAGAGTATATATGAATTTCAATATTGAAAATATTAAAGATGAAAGTAGAGATTCCTCATCCGCTAAACATAAAGAACACAAAGCGAAAATCATTACTGACCCATATGTTTGAGAAACTATGTGACAGTTATAACCCTGCAGCTGTTATTGATCTTGGCATTTAGAGGTTTAATATTGATTAGAAACTGATACACCACTGACATGCACATATCCATTTCTCTCAGGATACGTGTCTCATCTTTTTCCTCTAGGTTCATCTGTAGAGCAAAGATCTCAAGAGTTCAATGAACTACTCAATAGTAGGTTCTGCATCCCACAGCTTTTCTTTAGTGCAACCTCTTGCAAAGAGTTGGTGGAAAGACAGTGCCTTTGAACTACAGTGGATATACATGACATACATACCTATAGAGTATAAGGTTTTACCAGTTTGACCCTAAGCAGGAAGCTCAGGTTTTGGGGGGGGGGGGGGGGGGGGTGTTAAAAAAAAGGAAGAAAAATTAAAAGAGGCCATTTTCAAGACAAACACCCCCTCCCCCCCATAGTATATATTAAAGAAGTCGGCATATAGAAGGAGACACTGACTTATGATTTCTTTTGCTCATCATCACCAAGACAAAAGACTGTTTACTGTTTAAAGTGCTAGTACTCTGCACAACAAAGAAGAGGTATTTAAGGACCAAACCTCTTTTCAGAAGTAATGCTGAGCTGCACAGGTATAAACCGTGACAGAGATGTCAATGGACATTCAGATTATTCAACTGGGGGGGTGACTTGCCGGTTTTGAGGAGATGGGGAGAGACACATAGATCCAGTGGCTAAACGCTTTGTGAGAAAGTCAGTTATCCCATGCTGGGGACCATAGTGCTGTGCCTGATGCAGCTTGGAGGGCTTGGCCTGCCCTGGTCTCGCCCATTGTCCACACCGTGAGCTCCAGCCTCCTGAGAAATCTTGATCTCTCTGTATGTGAGATTTGCAGCCTTCAAACTCCCATTTACATGTTGTTCCAAGGGCTTCCTGGCTTTTTGAAACAGACTGCCATTTTTACCAGTCTGAGTTGCAGAAATGAAGGACTTGAAGATCATTCCTCCAGTTCTGCATCTGTGAGTAGCTGCTGTAGGATCTGAAGAAGAAAACATACATAACCAAGTGCATTAAGCAGACACTGTGTAGTGATTTCCACTCATTTTGGTCTGGGGATTGTTTTTTGTTCAGTTGTTTTTGAGGGGTGCAGTACTTTATTTTTAGTACAGTAATGTTTCATTTTTCCAGTATCTGACTCCTTTAGGCAAGCATAACAAATGTAGTTATCATTCTCTGGCATCCTGAGACAAGTGCCTGCTTGTTTCCATATCACTACTGGAATGTGAGACCAGTGAGAGATTTGGACCGGTTGTTAAGTTACATACATAAGCTCAAAATTTCTTACATGAGCTTAGGGTTTTTCACATGCTTAAGCACCTAGGGTTGATTCAAAGCAACTTTGATGGAGCAACCAGGCTTTATGCATTAGACATGAAAGACATTTGAATAAATTCCATTTCAGTTTTTAGGTCTGTCGTTTTCAAGATTTACTCTTAGCTCACTTCCTTTCAAGAAAATTGGGACTGTGCTTTACTGAGCTTTTAAAGCATTTCCTGAGAAATACTTTTGAAGAAAAGAAAGCTGGCTAAAGAATGTATTCGCTTTCTTTACTTATTCACAGTTTCAGCAAGAAACCCAGGCAACTTTTTATTTTTAAACTCTTCAGGGCTGAATGTTCCAGAAAAGTCAGTCACAGCTCAAGGAGTTTCATTTGCTTATCTCTAACAATTTTGACTGGTGTAGATGTAATCTCATTAGGGTATCCAGGGAGACTGACATGCAGAGGGAAGTAGTATCTCTTGTTTACTTGTACTATGTATTGGGATAATCTATGAAGCCCTAGTGGAGTTGTAACTCAGAACATGCTGATCAGAAGCATTAAGGAAATTAACATACAGCTCTATTAATGGCTTAAGGGAATCTGACTAAACAAACAAGGCCACACTGAGCAATAAATGTGAGCCTCAGACTGCATGACTTTCCTCATAACTACTCTAATTAATTGCTACAAAAGATTAATTTTATAATACAACATGGACATCAAAGGGAATGGCTTAGTGATTTAAGTGTTATGACATGTCTCCCTGGGAGATGCAGGTTCAGTTCTTCATGCAGCTGTTGTCAGCCTTCCAAAATATAATAACTAAAATGAATTTCTTGTATTTTACTGCTAGAGTTTCTGTGGAATAAAGACCTTGGTTGTTTTTCTGCTGAAGGCAGTGGCAATTTCACTATTAATTTCAGCAGAAGCAGAAGTAGGTCCACTGTCTTTGGTTCAGCAGTAGCAGTCATTTTTCTCCTTCTTGGTAGCTGGTGCAGTGCTGTGGTCTTGACTTCCAGCCTGGGAACAACACTGATAACACCGATGTTTTTAGTTGCTGCTCAGTAACGTTTACTCCGACCAAGGACTTGTGAGTCTCATGCTCTGCCAGGGAGGAGGGGAAGCCGTGAGGAAGCAGAGACAGGACACCTGACCCAAACTGACCAAAGAGGTATTCCATACCACAGCACGTCATGCCCAGTATATAAACTGGGGGCAGTTACCCAGAAGGGCTAGATCACTGCTCAGTTGGGCTGGGTATCAGTCAGGCGGTGGCAAGCGGTTGTGTTCTCTTCCCTTGTTATTTCCCTTATCATTATTATTACTGGTGGTAGCAGCAGTCATTTATGCTATACCTTGGTTACTGGGCTGTTCTTATTTCAGCCTGTGGGAGTTACATTCTTTCGATTCTCCTTCCCATCCCTCTGGGAGCAGGGGGAGGAAGGGGGGAGAGCGAGTGAGTGGCTGCGTGGTTCTGAGGTACCGGCTTGCTTT